AACATTTCGAAATGTTTGAAGGAAATGAAAGCTAAATAAACGATATTAATGGAATATTTGTATGCATTATAACATAACTGAGGATATTTACAGTAATTTGTATTCATATAAAATAATATACGGTATCGTTGACGATCTTTCATCATCTTAATCCAAAAACGTGGCTAAATGATGTGACACGATATGATATACACTTCAACTGACATTCGCATTCCGCTATATACATCTGTCACTCCTCTTGAATCTCGAAAACTATTACAGGTCAATTCCATTTAATCTAATCTTGATTTGAAACACATATGTATGCGTTATCTTGATTTTTAGACTTTCTGAAAACTTTTTTCTAACTGAAAGCCTCATGAATGATCACCGTTCAGGATTAATTTTGCTAAAAATTGGGAGTTTTAGCTACAACTATACTCAATGTTTCGGGACAATAATAATTTACGCGTTAACACTTTATGACAATCCTCTGAAACTTCATATATATCTTCAGGTATTATTATTGGAAGCTGGTATAGAAGAACCAGAGGTAGCTGGGATTCCGGGTTTCGCCTTCAATTTACCAGGGAGCAATATCGACTGGATGTATCACACACAACCGCAGAAATATGCCTGTCTATCCAAAAACAGCAAGGAATGCGTAACCCCAAGGGGCAAAGTATATTTACATATATTTTGACACACTAAATATCTATAATTATATATGAGGAATTGACTTGTTGTCATGAACTAAAAGAAAGTAACTGTTTGTTTGTACGTTATTAGTATAGTTCATGTAAATACTGTGAGCCAAGAAAACACTTGTGCACAAAAGATTTTTTTTTAATCTGTAATGTTTAAATATCTAAAGAGTCCAAACTGACATAATACCGATATCAGCATGAAAAAAAGTTTCATCCGTACCGTTTACCTATACACCCAAATCTTCACAGAACATATTCTCGTGTTCACATGCGTCTTTATCAGTGCGATTTTCAACAATACGAGACCATTCTTTGGAAGAAAAACGTAAATTTTGGACATCAATGTTAATCAGTCATTGATCTCTTTTTTACCGTTCATGTTAAGCGAAAACTACTTTTTGCATCATCACAGTTCGAAAAGGTATGTAGGTGGACTCACTGAAACTAATGGCCTCCATAAATAATATTTCTTCACGTATATAATAATTCGAAATATCACAAATATGAGAGATACAACACGATTATAATAGTTATAATCGTGAAATTTGCAATAAATCTAGGAATCCACACAGAGCTTAGAAATATTGCAGCTAACCCATATAAATTAAAATATATATAGTTCTAGTGATAGTGTTTTTCATATTTGGGCCTTTAAAAGCTTATTATCACATTCACAGGTGATGGGTGGTTCCAGTACTATTAATACGATGATATACATTCGTGGAAACGCAAGAGACTACGATGGATGGGCAGAAAAAGGAAATTATGGCTGGAGTTACGAAGATGTTCTACCATACTTTCTGAAATCAGAAAATAATAGGGATCCAGAGGTTAAAATTAAATTTGATATATCACTAGATACCAAGAGCTAATCACGTAAAACCTCCCTTTTCTCTAGATAGTAAAGGAAAATCCACACTACCATAGTCAAGGTGGTTACCAATCGGTCGAACGATTCCCGTACACCGACATCAACACCGACATCTTGCTGGACGCATGGCAAGAACTCGGTTACGAACTCCTAGATGTCAACGCAAAGACCC